CTACTAACAGTGCGGAACTCGAATGTATCGAAAGTGTCTGTCCTAAAACTGATGGTTTCTAAAAAGCCATTGTACGTCGCAAGTGGCGGGAGAAAAAAAACAGATAATTTTCATCTGGAAAAAACCCAAAGTTCCCCTACGATTACTCTAATACTAAAAAAAGTGCTATAAAAACCCGTACACAAAAATTTTTCGTGACTGTCGTAGAAACACATAAGAAATTTCTTCACGCATGTCGTCTAGACAGACCGCTTCAATATACACAAAAAACAAGAAAAATTTTCTGTGACTGTCGTCCCGACAGGCCACACGATTAGTACAAAATTTATTGTGACTGTCGTCTCGACAGGTCACTCATAAAACAAAATATATGACTGTCACCCGACAGGCCAAAACCTTACCAAAATCGGCTAAGAAACAATAAATGTCGATCCAATGAGTCCTTAAGTAGACCCTCCAGTCGTTGTACTATTGCGTACGAAGGTCGGGTAGGGCAGGCGAAAAAACCAGAGTTAGCAGAAAAAACAGAAGCTACCCTTTCTGAAAAAAAACCCCATTCCCTTAAATACTGCAAACGATTACTACTACGCATTTCGTCATAAATCACATACGAATCATACAATAAATCATGACAATCCAATAACGAAATCATACAATAAATCACTGTAAAGCATCAAACCGACAAAATCATACGATAAATTACACAATATATCAACGATCAATTACAGTACACCCTTGATCGATTCGAGACAAAATACTTTCTTATCAGGTAGCTAATCTACTTTTAATAAGGTAGCGGCGCATTCAACTCGTTACGCATGACAACATTTCATTTAATTTTATGAGTTCGAGCCCACGCTATGGTGCGGCGCATTCAACTCATTTCTATTAACCATAGCTGCCGCAACAAATTGGACGGCAAATCCGTTAGGTATAAAGTGTACCTAAATAAGTGCGAATTCATATGTAAATTCGTATGTGAAATTAACCTTTAAAAAATCCGTTCATAATAATTAAACATATAGTACATAACTATTGTTTGATTTATTGTAATGTTGATCACCCTATTGTAGCGTGCGTCTTATTATTTTCCTCTGACAATGAAGATATTGTTAATATTCCATCAATTCTAAATTCGGCAATTAACCAAATTTTACTTATCGGATTTCATGTGCTCTCTCAACGGTCCGTATTCCCGGTTAGGATTAAAGATGACATATGCTTACATTATCATCTTTTAAATCTGTTGACTTACGTACGTGAATCAACTTAAATTATAATCATGCTGATATACAGCTAATCAGATTCGCAGGGGCAGCACTAGAGATGGGCAATCGTAACATGTGCCATGCATGCAAAGATTCATTCGCTGATTATTGCAATTATGCATTATCCGGATAGCATGGTTCGAAACGTACATTTTGTCTATATTAATGCAGCACTCATATTGTAGATTTGGTAAACATTTTCCAAGACTTTCATTCTTTCATACTATTTTTTAATTAAAAGAGATATCTCCAGATCTGTGAAAAAAGTAAGGGGGCACGTATAAATAAAAACCGTGAAGTAAATAGTATTTGTCTAAATAGTTGTATTTTTAATAATGCGTTCCAAATATTCATTGGGTTTTTGGTATTTCGTCATTATTATCATATTTATTCAGTCTTTCGAAACCGCGGGGTCGACTAAATTTATTAAACAAGACACATCCTTGGATAAAAATAATGTACCTAAGAACATATTTGCCGCTTCTTTTATGGGTGGTAAAATTTGATAATTATTTAAATTTATTAAAGCATCAGTATTTATTATGAATCGCACTTATTTATAATTTATTATTAATTAATTTAATAATAATAGGAACTCATCTTCCTCCAATGTTAGAAATTTGCAAGATTTTAATGGACAGAGGATATAACGTATAAGTTTAATATTTTATTTTTATGAATTCTTTATAATTTTCTTACAGTATTTTTATGAATTCTTTAGAATTTTCTTACAGTATTTTTATGAATTCTTTATGATTTTCTTACAATATATTTACTTTAGGCAACTTTGGTAGCTCCTGAAAACTTTACAGCAAATTCCATTACCTATAGTTCAATTCCACAAGTTATTTTTGATCATAAAAACATGATTCCTATTGATTTTAAAATTTCTGCAAGAGAAAGATCAGTTAATGATAATTATCTTGAACAAATATTTTATGTTTTTAAAACGGCTAGCTCAGCCTATGTGCCTCTTTATAATATCTATAAACAAATAGCTAAAGATATCAACGCTGATTTGTTTCTTTGTGATTATTTTTTTAACAATCCGTGCTTTGATCTTGCTTGGAAATTAGGAAAACCTGTTGTTGGAATTTCAAATTCATTATCTTTTAGTAAGTTGAATATTTTGATACCCTTATCATGTATAATAAAAATTTCTGATTTATAAAATAATTAATTTCTATTTTATTAGTTTCCACACCTCCATATAAATCTGATCCTATGTTTGGATGTTCTGTGAATATGGAAAATGAATCTTTCTATAACAGATTTAGATGCGCCATTATATCTCCTTCAAAATTTATCTGGATAGCTATTGAAAATTTATTTGACCTAAATGCTCAAAGAGTAAAAGTAGGTGTCGAACCATATTGGGATCCAAGAGGGCGAGTATCAAATATTTTAATGCTATTTGACGTTTTCTTTGGATTTGAGGTAATTGTTATTTTTTGCTTTTTATTATTCAAAATTTGATGAACCACATGCTTAAAATTGTTATATTTGTATAGATACCAAGTGTCGAATCTCCTCTCAATCAAGAAATAGGACCTATAATACGCGATTCTTATCCAGATTTAACTCCGACTATTGATTCATTTCTTGCATCTCATCCTCGAACAATGTATTTTGCACTTGGAACTTATGCTGTCATAAGCAGTCAAAATACCCTAATTCTTTTAAAATCTTTTCTTAAACTTATCGATCAGAACGTTATTGATGGTATTATATGGGCTACTGTGAATACTAATACCTCACAGCTAATCTCGTTATCAGATTCTGATATTCCTATTTCTGATATTTTAAATAATAATCACCCACATATTCAAATTACTCAATATGCACCTCAATTCTCAATACTATCTCATGAAAATACAAAGTTATTTTTAAGTCATGGTGGTCTTACTAGTTGTAATGAAGCAATATACAATGCCAAACCAATGTTAATACTTCCTATATTTGGTGATCATCCTGGAAACGCACAAAAATTAGAATTGGCGGGTGTGGCATTGAGTATTTCTGAGTTTAATTTAGATGTTGATGATATAATATTAAAGGTTAAAAGATTATTAAAAGAAGAAAGTTTTAAAATGAATGCGAATAGATTACAATTTTTAGCTAAAATGAATAGCAAAAGAAAATATAGAGGCGCTGATTTAATTGAAGTAGTAATGAATAATGCTCAACATGATGGAGACAGAGATGAAACTGGTGTACTTAAGGTCGATAATGAAAAATTATTAAGAGATTGGATTACTCCAGGTACTAGAATGGGGTTTATTAGAGGAAATTATTTAGATGTTTATGGTGTCGCTATTATTCTATTATTAGCATTAATTAGTGGTTGGGGTTATATTTTATTGATGATTATTAAATACTTTTTTACAAAATATAAAAAGAAAACTGATAATTGGAATCATCAAATTAAAAGCAGAATTTCTTCACGAAAAAAAATGGGAAATAAGAATATTCAAAAATCCAAAAAAACTTTATAAAAAACAAAATGCACGTTGATACGCAACTAATAATAAATATAGTGTGAATTTGTATAATTAATATCATCACTAATTATTATAAATTAATATCTCTAATTATTATAAATTAATATCACTAATTAATATAATTAATATATCATTAATTATTATAATTAAAATTTTCATTATATTAAACAATTATAAAGAATGGTTCATTTTCTCGTGAAAATTATTATTATTTTTTAATTCTGCAGTCAAATTTAAGGACTAGTATAAAGTATCTTTATACAGTATAATGAAACGTTAGAATTTTATCTAAATGATGGTATGAGAGGCAAAGCCAGGAAAGCTCTGTCTCAGAGACTTGTAACTGTATAATGCTATTACGATAAGCTATAATGGCACAAGATTATATTAAGCACGCCAAATCTTAGCGTAACATAACGGATCCATCTCACTAAAAGTGTCGGTTTCTGTGATCTCCAAATCATTTCGGATTATGTAAATAACGATACCAGATTTATACCAAGTATCGATATTAACAGTAAGTTATGAATTTGGCGCACTCCAGCACAAAAACATTGCTCTTAATCCACTTGCTCATTTTTATTTACCAATAAATAATAGGAATAATAATAGTGTAGAAAAAATTCATCATGGGTATTGTGAGTCAGGATAACAAGAAACTACATCACAATATTATAAAAAATTTGAAGATATAAAGTATTCGTATATCATTCTTTTCAACAGTATAAAAAAATGCGTGCGCATTCATATGATTACATACCTAATTCATATTAAATAAGAAAATCTCATGTGCGATTCACATATGTGCACATCACTGTTGGCGGTAGAATTACTGAATTATGGCATTACGGCATACTACCATATCAGAATTAATTACGGCACAGAGCCCAATTGCCGTAAATATTATGTGCTGAATGCCGTAATACCGTAATGCCGTAATGCCGCAATGCCGTTGTTACTACAGGAGCGACCGTCGATGTTACACGACTGATTTTTCACACGGTGTGAAACACCAGTCGTGTAACATCGACGGTCGCTCCTGTAGGTACGAACCCTTGTTTGGTAATATCCCCGACTGTAAATTAGGTTAATTTTTTGTTTATAATTTATGTGTTACACGAATTTGTAAATCAATAAATTTGCAAAAAAATTTTGACGGTTCGAGTATAAAAGTTGTTCAATTCGGCGGATTTTTAGAATTTGATCTTTATTTAAATTAAAAATACACGATATGGAAAAAGAAACTGGTTATAATATTAATTTCGCACAAGCGTTAGTGGTATGTATCTATAGATAAGAAATTTATTTAAGCAGATTATTGATATAAAATTTATTTAATTCGCTCTTGTTCTTTGTAAAAGGCTGGTGGAATAGCGGGAACCTCTGTAGACGTGATTTTATATCCACTAGATACAATAAAAACCAGATTACAATCGAAGTCTGGATTTTATTCTTCGGGAGGATTTCGTGGAATTTATTCGGGATTAACGAGCGTCATTATTGGAAGTGCCCCCGGAGGTTTAAACATATATTTATTTTCTTAATATTTTAAAACTTGTGGAATAAATTTGACATTCATTTTGATTTATATTTTCTTTCGTTTAGCATCAGCATTTTTTGTCACATATGAATACTTTAAAAAATCTTTAGGGACTTTATTTCCTGATACAAAGTATTCTTCATTGATTCATATGACGGCCGCTTCGAGTGGTGAAGTTGTATGTAAAATTCCGGTGGTGCTCATTTCACCGATATGTTTATTTTACTGACAGACAATCATTACACCGACATGTTATTTCACCGATATATGTTTCACCGACAGTACGTTTCACTATTTTACTGACAGACAATCATCACACCGACATGTTATTTCACCGAGAATATGTTTCACCGACAAGTTTAATTTCGTTATTGCATATTTTCCGGTGGTCATTCCCAGACACGCCATTTACCTGGAGTTAGATTAGCATTTTTATTAGTTGTAGGTATATGTTAGGTTTCTGCAAATTCCCGTGCCGGCACATGGAGCACTATGCCGGACACCAGTGCCTTGTGCCTATGAGCAAAAAGCACCGGGCAATTTTAGGCCGGCATCTTTGTGCCGTGCCCACAAAGATTCAAAGTCTCGTTTTTTTTTTTATAAGTTTTGGCCAATTTTGTGTCAGTTACTTCGTGCCTGTGAGAGTGGTTGTGGGCATAAGTGCCGGTATTTTTATGCATAACAAAATTTTTGTTGGACACGAGGCACGTGCCGGGTATGCAGATCCCTAGTATATGTATGTTATTAGTAATTTAACTTGTCGGTGTAGCAACTGCCTGTGAATCAATTGTCAGGTGAACTAAATGTGTTGGTCGGTAAATTGAATCTCGGTGAAATAATTGTCTGTGAAGTGAACTTGTTGGTGAATTGATTGTCATTGAAACGAAGTGTCGATGAAGTGATTGTTAGTGAATGATACATATCTGTAAAATTCAGAATACGCATTTCTATTAAATGTTTATTTACAAATGAGACATTTATTAAATATATCATTAAAAGGTTGCATGTCTAATTCGCACACCAACTGAAGTCATTAAGTCAAGAATGCAAATAAAGCAATACTCGTCATTGTCTAAAGCAGTTAAAAGTATTTTTAAACAAGAAGGATTTTTTGGTTTTTATCGAGGATTTACAAGTTTAATTTTTAGAGAAGTGAGTTATTTATTATTATAAAAAAAAATAAATAAATATATGGGAGTGAGTCAATAGAAATTAAGAAATTTTTTAAACAAGAATAACTTTAACCTTGACCAAATTAGTAAAATTTTTTTGAATAATTTTTACAACTTGTAGAATTAATTTTAAAAAAAATTTGATTAAATTTGATTAAGTTTTTGTTAAGTTATCTCGTTTGAAGTTTTAAAAAAAAACTTAATAAAAATTATTTGGTTGGTTTCTATTGACTCAACCCATATATATATATATATACAAATAAATAATAACTTTTTGTTTGACTTATTTAGGTACCATTCTCATGTATTCAGTTTCCATTATATGAATATTTTAAATATTTAGTTCCAAATCACACGCATCGAAAATATGTTGAACCTTGGGAAGCTGCAATCTGTGGATCTTTTGCTGGTGGTATAACTGCTGGTGTTACTACTCCTTTAGATGTTATTAAAACGCGATTAATGCTATCAACTAAAGTAATTTCTCATTTATTTTTATTTATTGACTAACTTTATTTACTTATAAATAATTAATTTTGATAAACAGGATCAAAATATACATAATTATTCTGGAATAACAAATACATTTTATCGTATTTTAACACAAGAAGGTATAAAGGTATTATTTTCTGGGATAGGCCCACGGGTATTATGGATATCTATTGGTGGATCCATATTTTTAGGTGCTTATGAAAAAGTAAAAAAGACTTTGTACAAACATGAAATTTTTGCTTAATATTTATACTGTATTAATTTTAAAATAATAAATTTTAAATAAGTTAAATATGTTGATATTAAATATATTAATCTTTTAATATAGTAATTATACAAATAACTAAGTTATTGTTAAATAACAGAAAACACTTTTGTCTCTGTAAATTATATAAAATATAAATTTTATCTAAAGATATACTGTATATATACTGTATACTGTATTTTTTTTATACTAAATTGTTATTTTGAAATTTTTATTTGTTATAAAGTATATAGTAATTCTTTTTACATTACAAATGCAATAATTACAAAATTTTTTATATTATTTTTATTTTATATAAATATATTTAACTTTTTTATAATAAATAAGAGGTTTGAAAACAAAATTAATCTATACTTTTATATACTTCTATATACTTTATAATAGAAATATTCAAGTGTAATATTTGTATAATGATAAGTTTAAACTAAATAATTTAATTAATTTATAATATACTGTAGATTAATTTTTTTAATTTACAAATTATATCAATATTGTATCAGAATTATTGCTAAATAGTTGCTAAAGTATCTTTGATTAAAATTTTATAAATATACTGTAAGGCCAATTTTTTGGTTCTCCGGGAAGAATTTAAATTTATAAGACGCAGTATTTAAGTTGACCAATCAGAATTGATACTAATATTTTGAATTGAAATAGAAAGGCATTAACAAAAGAACACCATGCTGATTCATGTTCTAATAAACTTGAATCGGAAGGTTAAAAAGCCTTAGCAAGTATATCTTGCAAGAGCAAGAGAAGAAATAAGCATTAATAGATGCGCTTACAAGAACACTTTTCTGGCTTTTTTGAGTCTTATAATATAAACACAGATTAGAAGAATGAAATGTATTAATCAATGCACTTTATAGAAACAAACCCTGAAAGAATTGAATGTTTGAGATATAATCTGATCCAGTTAAAACTAACCATCTGGATATCTAACTTTTTTTTTAATATCCATTGAATTAATGTCCAGATAAATTCATTGAATATTCATTGAACATTCGAATACTTCTAGTGATTTGACATATTATAATTCACATGTTGGTTTTATTCTTTTTTTTTCATTTTAAATTAAAGACCGGATTGATGGAAAAGCATTTAGCAGATGCGCTTTGCAAGTGTACCATACAATTTTGTGTTCAATATTATATATATAAACTTTCAGAAATAAGAATTATAAATCAGCACGAATAAGAAATTAATAATAGATACATAGATTATTTCAAATATTTCGATTAATAAATAATATTGACTGAATCGACACAGGTTGAATCAATGAATATTGGGTACATACCAGGAGACAAGTTTCCTGACATGTATCCGTTAGTCTGGCATAGATTCGCCAAATACCCGCTGAATATCAGAAGCATATTGGCAGCATATTTGTAAGATATCAGGAGGTAGATCGATATCAGTAACATAACAGTACAATATTGGGATACCCTTAGCACTTTAAAAGTAAGATATCGGGATATCATAATATTTTGCTGTTATGTTGCTGATATCACCAATATGCTGCAGGTATTTGGCGGATCTAACGGGTACATATCGGGAAACTTTTCTCCCGGTATGCACCCGATATTCATTGATTCAACCTGTACGACTTGAAATAAAAGATTGTTCATCAACCAAATCAGCATGGACGATAAACTAATAAAACTAACGCTAATAAGATGTAAGATTTGATTTCGAATACTTTGATTAACAAATTATTTTATACTTTCCGGTTAAATTAACCTAAAATAAGTGGCTTTATAATCGTACCGAAATAAAATAAAATTTTTTTTTGTCATATTTTAGACTATGCTTACAGACTAATTTAATATGAATATAAAGAAATGACTTATTTTAAATACACCCACTATTATAATCATCTCCACTAAATCAATAAGAAATCAAATTAAAAGTGAAATAAGCACTATTTATTTTTCGTAACGGCGGGAACAAGAGGTAAATTCCCGATTATATAAGGGTCCGAAGGGCCTCATATAACCGGAGATCTACTGGCTTATTTCCCGCAGTGGAAAATGAGGATGTTATTCTTCATTTTGAATGTCATGTGGCGGATCATATAAATTGTAGTAGTGATTTTCTTTTGATCTACGAGAGTATGGTATGTTTTTAAAATAGATATTTTACATCCTCTTACCATATGATATGGTCATCCAACTTCCGTGATTTCTAAAATACTTATTTTAAAAATCATTCCGTACGATCTGCTGTATGGATTAGTCATCGTGATAAAACCAGTAAATGCCGTAAAAAATATTCAAATTTATGATATCATTTATCTTTTATACGTACGTTTTGAGGATCAGATTTACTGGTTAAAATAAATTGGTAATTCGAAATAAATTATGAATGTAAGTTGTACCTTATTTTTCACACGAAAAAAATGATTGGTAAAAAAATGTATAGAACACTCATAATGGACAATAATTTATCATAAGAATATACTGTACAAAGCTTAAACAATGATAAATTTTAATTGGGGGTTTTTTTTATTTAATTTCTATTTTATATAAACTTACAGTACAAGATACATTAAAATATACTACAAAATCATGGCATGATTCTCAAAATTCATGCGTATACCATCACTAGTTCTAATACGTAATAACAGACAGGTTTGAATATTTGTTTAGAGTTAGAGACGCGTCCTCTAATTTAATTTTATAACAAAATTGTTATAAAGAATCCTTAAATAGGAGAATGAATAACGGATCGCATCTCTAGTTTAGAAGTAGCTTTTATGTAATAAAACGAGTACGTAATTATTGAATGGAGTCTATAATAATAAACGGGTAATAATTCATAATATATATTTATATTTATATTTATATATATACTGTAGTTTATATTTAATTAGTTTAATCGGTTTTATTTTTTATATACAAAACCGGCTTAACCCAAAATACATAAAACAGGAATTCTTCCTGTATTTCCGGTATAAAAATAAAATTTTAATTTTGTAATTTACATAATTCCTTGAAGCATCTGATCGGCCGATTCGGTTAAGTTATAGATTTCGGGAATAATAAGATTCAGTAACAGATATAATAAGATCAGATGACTAATATATATTACAATAAGACTAAATATCGACATGCACTTGTAAGTTGTAAATTCAATTCCTACTCTTTGGCACGATCCATTTTCGCTCAAATGAAGCCTTTATTCATTTCTAATTATTTTTCGACGAAAATTTAGGTTTAAAAAAATTGTGTAAAATTTCAATTCCTATTCTTTAGCAAGATCCATTTCTTTCAAACGAAGACGAAAATTAGTTTTTAAAAAATTGTGTAAAATTTCAATTCCCATTCTTCCGCAAGATACATTTTCGTTCAAACGAAACCTTTATTCATTTCTAATTATTTTCAACGAAAATTCATTTTTAAAAAATTGTACAAAATTTCAATTCCTATTCTTTGGCAAGATCTATTTTCGTTTAAACGAAGCCTTTATTCATTTTTAATTATTTTCAATGAAAAT